TTTGTTGCCGTATTGAAGTGCAAACCAGTAATTCTTGCATCCCTTTTCTAGCAAAGTCGCAAAAAACTAACTAGAGAACACTAATTTGTTCTTGACCATTTCACCATTTAAATCAGAGTAGCCAATACCACTCAATTTAAATTGTCATCTTCCACTGGGAGAAACGAGTTGCGTAGTTGAAGTTTCGAGCATAATCGAATCCACGGGACAGAGTAGTGGATTCGAGTTCCCAACTTTCGAGTTTCCACTTAAGCAAATCAGTTGCTACTCAGCAAGTTTTATGCTTACGGGATTTGAATGTTTAAACTCAATCGTTTGCACATTTTTGTCCCGATTAAGCGCTCTGTCATTTTGAAGCACTTCATTTATTAAATTCTTAGTACGTAGGTATAGGTTGAAGCAATAACAAAAGGTTGCCTAACACGCTTCTACATTTTTGAAACATTTTTATTTACTACTTGCCGAATTAGCGAACATTATGAGATCGGCATTAGTGACGACTATGGTTTCCTCGTGCGCAAAATTGATGTCTCATCGTCTGTAGCACTGGTTTGGTAACGTTCTAAAGTTGCTTGAACTTGTTTCTCAGGTTGACCTGCGACAGCCAACTTCACCAGGCGAGACAGTGGAAAGTTTTCGATCCTGTCTCCTAACTATCTGTTCTCAGTCTCTCTCGACCTCTGGGACGATTTTAGTGGTCTCCTACGACCGTAAAGCGGTGAAGCAGACCGGCAGTGGCCATTATGCATTGGTTGGGGGCTATCACCCAAAGCGCGATCTCATTCTTCTACTAGAGACCGCGGCATTTAAGTACCCCTCTCACTGGGCGCCTCTCACTGCCATCTATAACGGTATGTGCGCCCTCGATAAGGTGACTGGTCGTCCACGAGGATATATGTGCATCACCAAAGCCTTCCACGCTCGAACTGGCCTCCTTTCCTCCTACCCACATGGATCAGTGGCTGCAGATATGAACGCGCAAAATCCTTCTGCTAGACAGTGC